TCCCATCCCCTGCCCACCCCAACCCCCCACCTCCGCCCACCTCCCTGCCTTCTGCACTCCCCTCAGCTCAGCCAACAAGTGTCTGCTGAAGGTGGCAGGGTATGCTGCCCAGCTGGAGCAGTACCAGAAGGCCATCGACATCTATGAGCAGGTGGGTGCAGGGTCCCTCTCCCCGCCCCCAGTTCCCTCCCTTCCTCTCCACTCTCTTACCCTGGGCGCTGCAGCCCTCCATACCCCGCCATCGCAGCTGCCAAGTCAGGGTGGGATGAATCGCTGGAGCGTGAGGTGGCAGAGGCAGCTGGGGACCTGCTTGAAGGGGCCCAAGAAGCAGGCCCCTCCCTAACAGGCTGGAATGTGGGAGCAGGGTTCGGGCCCCACGCTGCAGGGAGGGAGGCCCAGGGCCTCCTGGTGGGTTGTGCCTGGCCCAGAGTGAGGCAGCAGCTGGCCTGGGGGAGAGTGGGGCGGCGCCGCCTCTTGTGTTCCCGCTGCGTCCGCCCTCTGCCCGCCAGCCTGATGGTGGGGGGGCCTCCTGCCTCTCGCATCCTCTGCCCACTTCCCTGGGTCTGCTCCCTGGCCTCCGTCCCTGGGGGGTTCCTGGTCACATGCCTTCGCAGCCCAGCCCTCTGCCCACAAGCCTCACGTGACTCTTCCATGTGTCCAGGTGGGGACCAACGCCATGGACAGCCCCCTGCTCAAGTATAGCGCCAAGGACTACTTCTTCAAGGCTGCCCTCTGCCACTTCTGTATTGACATGCTCAATGCCAAGGTGCGCTCTGTGAGGCTGGGAGGGGGTCCCGGACGTCCCTCCGCCCCAGATCACTCTGCCCTTGGGGCCGGCTATTCCCCCATCTCAGGGAGTCTCTGGATCTTTATGATAGATGGTCTAATATCCCCTGAAGACCCAGCTGTCACTGTTCCTTCATCCCCTTCAGAAGGGGAAACCCTGACACAGAAACCTTGGCCCTCCGCCCCAGTTATCCATCTTTGTAGTCAGCATAGCACAGAGCTTGGCCCAGCTCTGGGGAGATGCTCCCTGGAGTGGCTACTGGAGGGATGTAAGTGTGACCCCAACTTCCTCCCCGCCCTGCTCAGCTGGCAGTGCAGAAGTATGAGGAGCTGTTCCCTGCTTTCTCCGACTCCCGGGAGTGCAAGCTGACCAAGGTGAGTGTGGCCAGGGACTGAGATTTGGACAGGTCCACTGGTGGTTTCCCCTCTGTGTCTGAGTCCTCGTTTTTAGAAGTGACAAGGAGGGCACAACAGTGATGGGGGTCTAGGCAGGTGGGGAGACTGAAGGGTGGCATGCTCTCCATGTGGAGTCCCGCCTCCCCTGTCTGCCCACACCCACAGGTGTGTGCCTGGCCCCTAGAGCCCCCTGGATCCCACCTGCCATTTCTTTGCAGAAACTGTTGGAAGCCCACGAGGAGCAAAATGTGGATAGCTACACTGAGGCAGTGAGTGCACCTCTTTGGGGTACTTTCCACCCTGGCCCTGAATTTCTTTCCCCAGCACCCCCGATCCTCCAAGGTACCCAGAGAAGTACAGTGGGTCTGTCCTGGAGTCGGCACAGAGCAGCGCTCACCCCACCATTGTACACATGTCCTGGGGCACACTGGAGGACCTTGCTTGGGTGAAGAAGGGGTACAGCACATGAGGAGAGTCCTGGCGGCCCCTCAGTGCTAATACCCCAGAGCCCTCATTCAGTCCTTCCCTGGGCAGTGCCTGCCCCGGGCCTTCTGGCCTCCCCTCACCCTCAGCACACAAGAATCGGTGTTGCCCACACCCCTGGGGCCTTTTTACCAGGCCTCAGGGAAGCCTGTTTGGGCAGCTTGCGGGCAGCCAGAAGCATCTGTCAGCATTCCCATGCACGTGCAGGTGAAGGAGTACGATTCCATCTCACGACTGGACCAGTGGCTCACCACCATGCTGCTGCGCATCAAGAAGACTATCCAGGGCGACGACGAGGACCTGCGCTAGCCACCTCTGCCTACGGGCCGGACACGCGCCTCCCTTCCTCTGCGCCCTCTGCCCCACCGACTTATTTAAGCCCCCAGAGGTGCCCTTGTCCACCGGAAAGCCAGAATCCATGGCACAGACCTGTTTGCTGGGGGCACTGCCGGGTGCTGGAGTCCGCAGCTGGCCCCATGCCTGAACCGCTGAGCCACTGCTTGACCTTCCCTGGCCCCCAGCTCAGCCTAGCACATGTAGCTGAGACCTGCCCCCACGGAAGGGGGTGGACTCCCTGCTTCCTGAGGCCCCACCTTTCCCAGGAAACCTCGGGCTGCAGGGCCCGGGCTTGCCCCTACCCCTGCCCCTCCATCTGCTCTCCCTGTGCTTCGGGATTTGAGGTGGGAGCCGCAGCTGGCCCAGGACAGGAAATAAACATCACCACTTCAGCATGAGTCTCTTCATCTTTACCTCTGCAACTCCTGTCCCCCAGCCCTTCGCACTGGCCTTCCAAACCCCCTTAGGCTGCGGCCATGCTCTGGAAATGGCATGCAGGCAGCATCTGGTCAGGAGACTGGAGTGTACTCCAGGGCAGATGTGGGAGTTGGTGGGGAGGGGCAGTATTCCCAGGGCAGGTGTGAGGGAGCTGCAGTGTGGCATTGTGGGGCCCAGGTATCAGACTTACTCTGGGACCTTGGGGACTGGCACTAGGCAAGAGGAAATGCTCCAGGGAGGAGCCCTTGCATCTCATGGTCTCCCCCACGCCCATGGTGCCTGTAGGCAGGGCTACATCACTGCATCTGATAGGGTGGACTGGGAAGGTACTAAGGTAGAGACAACAGAGGTCCTTGGCAAGAACCACCTGCCTTAAGGCTGGAAGCAGCCCATATGACAAGAAAGGTACGGAGAGGCAGTAATACAGAGGGAGGGATTCCCTGGAGCCAAGGACAGGCTTTCTCGGGAACTTCTGGAATGAGTTGGCCTCACCCAGCCCTGCTCCTTTGTCCCCATCAGCCTCTGCCACTGCACCCATTGGTTGCTCTTGTCTACTGCTTCTCATTCCCACTCCTGAGACCTGACAACTGATGTCTGCCTTGGCACAATCTGGAAAGGCAAAAGAGCATGTGATAAGCTGCCTCTACTGTTGTGATCTAAATAATTTTAACCCCAGATATCTTCCAAAATCTGGAGCCAGGTTTATTTATTTATTTTGTTTTTTGGATCACACCTGGGGATGCACAGGGGTTCCTCCTGGCTCATGCACTCAGGAGTTACTCTTGGCAGTGTCCAGGGGACCATATGGGATGCTGGGAATCGAACCCGGGTCGGCCGCATGCAAGGCAAACACCCTACCGGCTGTGCTATCACTCCAGACCCAGAGTTTTTTTTTTTTTTAACTTTTTGGGTCACACCAGCGATACTCGGGTTACTCCTGGCTTTGCACTCAGGAATCACTCCTGGCAGTGCTCAGGGGACCCTATGGGATGCTGGGAATCGAACCCGGGTCGGCCGTGTGCAAGGCAAATGCCCTACCTGCTGTGCTATCACTCCAGCCCTGGAGCCAGGTTTAAAAAGTCCAGGCTGGAGGAGCACAGTGCTGCCTCAATTCATCTGTTTGTGAACTTGACAGACATGGACATGGGGGAGCTGCAGGCTCAAAGAGAACATTGAGAAGAAGCAGACCTCAGTCCAGATTCTGTTCATTGAGCAAGCATTTAAGCACCTACTGTGTGCATGCTGCTCCAGACTTGGGGGAATAAAGAATGGTCAGACCCTGCCCTCCAGAAGTTACCCAACTTGAAGTGGATTTTTATTTTTTTGCTTTTTGGGTCATACCCGGTGATACACAGGGATTACTCCTGGTTCATGCACTCAGGAATTACTCTTGACAGTGCTCGGATGACCATATGGGATGCTGGGAATCGAACCCGGGTCAGCCGTGTGCAAGGCAAATGCTCTACCCGTTGTGCTATCACTCCAGCCCCTGAAGTGGATTTTTAACAGTTAATATCAGGCATCACCCAGAGATGCAGTGACATGTGTATGCACATAAACAGACACACCACCACTCTCCACTTAAAACCTGAATCAGAAACACTGGTGTCTCCCCACATGCCAAGGGTTTTCCTGAGCCTCAGTTTTAAACTGGGAGACTAAGGGGTTGGGGAGAGTACAGCGGGAGTGTGCTTACCTAGCATACAACCTATTCAGGTTCTATCTCTGGTACCCCCTATGGTCCCCCGAGCACCCCTAGGAGTAATTCCTGAGGGCAGAGTCTGACACTGCTGGCTGTGACAAAAAAAAAAAAAAAAAAAAAACACTTTTTAAAAAATGAAAAGCACACACAACAGCCCGATTGTGTGCCAGGATAGATCTTTTTTACTTGGGGTAAAAAAAAGCGGATTTCACCCTTTTGGTGGTGACCTTTAAAAGGCGAACTTGTTTGGGCTTCAATATTAACCCGCATCTTACTCCCCGTGTGTTGTTCACACAGTTCTTTACCTCTTGGTGCCTCAATTTATCTATAAAAATTTCTCCAGTGGAGAACCAATCTCCACCTGCGTAGGTGTTAGAAATAAATGGAGAAACGTGTTTTGTTTTGTTTTTTTTTTTTGCACACCCAGCTATACTCAGAAGTTACTCCTGGCTCTGCACCCAGGAATCACTCCTGGCAGTGCTTGGGGGACCATATGGGGTGCCGGGGATCGAACCCGGGTCGGCTGCATGCAAGGCAAATGCCCTACCCGCTGTGCTATCGCCCCGGCCCTACATGGAGAAACGTGAAGGCTATGTAAAGTTTTGTGATTCTGATTATTCTACCTTCCACACCGCCTACCTAAGGGTAGGCACCAGGCACTTCCGATTTACTGCCGCAGCCTCCTCCTGGGTCCTGGAAAACCCCGGAGGAGCACACTGTGCGCTCGGGCAAAGTGGCCTCCGAAGTCCGCCTGGATGCCATCTTGGAAAAGGGCAGAGGCGGCGGCTTTCCTGCGTCATCAATCCGCGCGGCCGCCTGGCACCCCGGCGTTTCAAGTCCCGGCTTATGGAGCGATAGGGCGGGCCGTGGGCCCACGCCTGTGGGGGTGAGCGGCGGAGGGGCATCATGGGGGAGGCCGCGGTGCCCTCTGAGCCCTGCCCGCTGCGCGAGGACAGCTTCACACGCTTCTCGTCGCAGAGCAACGTGTATGGACTGGCGGGCGGCGCGGGCGGGCGCGGGGAACTGCTGGCCGCCACCCTTAAAGGCAAGGTGCTGGGCTTCCGCTACCAAGACCTCCGACAGAAAATCCGGCCAGTGGCCAAGGAGCTGCAGTTCAACTACATTCCCGGTGCGTGGCGCCCTGGGGCCAGGGGGCCTGGAATGTGTTGAAAAGGCGTCTGAGGCTCTCTTGAGCCGGCTCAGCCTAATGGGAGTCTGGGTGATGGCAGAGGTGATCCGAAGAAATAGGTCCGAGGACAGGGATCAAAGGGGCCTGGGAAGGGGTTGGTGTAAGGAGACTTCAGACAGGGAGGTCAGGATCCCTGTACTGTGATGGTCCTGATTACAACTCCCGCAGATCCCTGAGGTCATGTTAAAGGCGGGGGATCTTGATTAGTGTATTGATGATTGGCCCTAAAACTTGAACTATCCCCTCCAGTGGATGCTGAGATTGTCTCCATCGACACCTTCAACAAGTCACCCCCAAAACGAGGTCTGGTTGTGGGGATCACCTTCATCAAGGTATCCACAACTTCTTCCACTTGCGCAGCCCTATCTTAGACATGCATGTGCGGTGCCTCCTGCAAACTCTGACCCCCTCCTTTTTCTATTTGCTGCTGAGGCACTTTCCTCCCTCAGGATTCAGGGGACAAGGGTAGTCCCTTCCTTAATATTTACTGTGACTATGAGCCTGGTTCCGAGTACAACCTGGATTCCATTGCCCGTAAGTGTGACCTGGATGGAAGAAGGGGGATCAGGAGGGCAAGTGTCTGGCTTGTGAGATCCTGTGCCCACATGCCTGTGTTTGCCCTTCAGAGAGCTGCCTGAACTTGGAGCTGCAGTTCACTCCTTTCCAGCTGTGCCATGCAGAGTAAGTGTTGCAGGGGGGATGGGACAGGAAGCCAGATGTGACCACAGACCTGCCCACAATCCAATTCTGTTTTGTCTTTTAGCTCTTTATAACTCTTTACAGTGGTCCAGTGGCCATCGGCTAGGCTTGGCTGATGGGCTACCATCATGTTATCCTTGAGAAGTCATTGAACATCTGGATTTCTAAGAGCTAGAACTCCTGGCTCTCATGGTCTAGATTTAGCTCTGCCAAAATCTAGAAACATTCCATTTTTTCAGGTTTATGAACTCAGAGATTCAAGAAAATAGGGGATAAGAGCTGAGATTCCATAAGGATAAAGTCCTCACATTCCTCTATTTCAAGGAGAACCAGTGCAGACCATCTAGATTCCCAAAGTATATGGGTTCCATTCTAGAACACCTGCACAGGTCAGCTATTGGGGCCCAGGGGACACTGTACATGAATGGGTATGGCTGTGTTCCAATAAAACTTTATTTACAGAAGCAAGCAGTGGGTTGCATTTAGCTGCTGCTTATAGTTTGGCAACTGCCAGCTCTAGCAGCAAGAGTTCTAGAAGCTGGTATCAAATCTAGGATGTGATATTTGGCCATTCCGAGTCTGAATACCCAAGAGACCAACTTCTCAAAGTTCTAGTTCTTCCAGAGACCAAAAAAAAAAAAAAAAACTTTCAGCAGAACACCCAAGTTCCAGATTAAAGAGATTTTAGATTTCTGAGGCTCATGACACAACATCAAGAGTGAAGTTTTCGGAAGCTTCTCATGTCTGCCACTCTGAAATTGGAAAGTTCTACAAGTCTGCAGTTCTAGAGTTCTCGAGGACTAATTTCTGCATTCTGGGCCTCCTGTCCTGGCCCCCGTCACTTGGGTTTCTGGAGCCCAGATTCTTTAGGATTCTGATGGGCAGGAGGAAGGTTTTATAGCATATGTACTCATTATGTCCCCACTCAGGTTCTAGATTTCCTCTGCTTTCAGGGTCCAGGTCGGGGATCAGCTGGAAACCGTGTTTCTCCTGAGTGGAAATGACCCAGCCATTCACCTCTACAAGGAGGTAAGGTGGAGTGGTGAGGGGGAGGTGTTTAACTGCGCTTCCCACAGACTGCCTGCTAACTGCAAGCCTGGGCCGGATGTGGGGGTCTTGGTTCCTCCCAGAATGAGGGACTGCATCAGTTTGAGGAACAGCCAGTAGAAAACCTCTTCCCGGAACTCACGAACCTGACCAGTAGGTAAGCGGGGCCCTGAAAGAGGCGGGGTCCAGGGCAGGCAGCCTCTGGAAACCTAGTGGCGGGAATGCCCCGAGGATGGAAGCAAGGGGAGGGGGGTGGTGAGAAAACTAGAGAAATGGAGTCGCAACAGGGATTCCAGGTCTCAGTGGTGGCCCCAGGGAACACAAGAAGTGGAGTCAGGACTTGGAAATTGATCCCCATAGAAATGGACAGAGGAGGACCTCAGAGAAATGAGATCCCCGGAGACCCAAGCTAAAAGGAGGGCCCACCAATGTCCTTGGGGAAGCAGAAGAGTGGGGCTCTAAGACTTCCCGCCTCTTTGATCCCCTGCCCATCTGCTCGCTCACCAGCGTCCTCTGGCTTGACGTGCGTAACCTCCCTGGCACCTCGCGGAGGCTGTCAGCCCTCGGCTGCCAGAGCGGCTATGTCCGTGTCGCCCACGTGGACCAACAGAGTCGTGGTAGGGGCAGAGTCCTGGTGAGGGGGGCGGGGTTGTGGTGAGGGGTGGTGCTGTGGGGTAGGGCCACATGGACCAGCGGAGTTGGTGGAGTTGGTGAGGAGTCGGTGAGAAGTGAGGGGTCTTGCCAGGGCTGGGCAGCATCCGGAGTCCCATTCTCCATGCAGAGGTTTTGCACACCTGGACAGTCCAGCAGGACGGCCCCATCTCCCGCGTGATCATCTTTAGCCTCTCGGCCCCCAAGGGTGAGTGGGTGCAGGCTCCCCCACTACTGTGTGGGCCCCTTCCTGGAGCACTCCGCCTCCAGCATGCCCCTGCCTGCCCCTGCCTGCCACCCATTGGCCCTGGAGCTAAACTTCTGCCTTTCCCTCAAGCTGTCAGCCCTGCACTCTCATGCTCTCTGTCCTCTTCACTCCGGCTGGCTAATCTCCAAGGCCAGGCTTCTCCACCCCTCAGGACCCTGCCCCAGCCCCCCCCCCCACCAGTTGGCCAGGGCTGTGTCACGACCCCTCACCCATGAGCCTGCTCTCCAGTCCCTCCCATGACCTTAGACGTTTCCGCTGCCCTTCAATCTCCATCCCTTCTACCCCTATCTAACCACCCTCTCGAGGGCCTCCCATCATCCAGTGTCAAGCTTCCAACCCTCCTCCTGAACCACACGACTCGGGCCTCTCCTCGCTTCCCCCAGCGTTCCACCCACTCTGAGGTGGGCCCCTCACCTCTGTTCACGTGCCCTCCCCAGAGACTAAGGACGAGCCACAGCAAGACGAATACAGCGTGCTGGTGGCCAGCATGTTGGAACCGGCGGTGGTGTACCGGTGAGGGGCCCCAGGGTCTCAGCAGAAAGCCCCTTGCACCAGGTGGCTCTGGACTGGGCAGGCCCAGATGTCCATGTTTGGCTGTAGGGGGTGGGGGATGGCTGTGTAGGAGGGTAGAAGAACCCGGAGCCTATAGGGAATGGTTGGGGGCTGGAGGTCCACTCCCCCTGGTGGACAGGTGGACAAGCGGGCTGGCAAGTGGCAGAGCTAGTTGGAGATGCTTGCCAATTGCCCCAGTGTAAAGATACTCATCATCTGGGATCGGCCCACACAATGCCCACTGATTCTTTAGCTCCCTGGGTTGACTCCTGGGAGCTGGCGCCAGCCAGTAGGAAGAAGTCCACACTGGGCCCACTCTCCTCCAGTGCATGGGGACAGTGTCTGGCAGAACTGTGGAGCTGGGGTCCAGACTAGAGAGGAAGGGTTGGCACTCGAAAGTGGAAGATTTGCATTCCTGGTGGAGAATGCTGATTGGAGGTGGGGAGTGTGTGGGTGTGGGTGTGTGAGGGGGGTCAAGGTCTGACCGGATGCGGGAGGCCAGAGTAGGGATGTGCATTGGACCCTCACCCTGGCCCCTTACTGGACCCTCAGGGACCTACTGAACCAGGGCCTGGAGGACCAGCTGCTTCTGCCGGGCAGCGATCAGTTTGACAGTGTCCTCTGTGGCCTGGTCACCGACGTAGACCTGGACGGGCGCCCAGAAGTCCTGGTAGCCACCTATGGTCAGGTGAGTTGGGAGGGAGGAAAGGAAAGGGTTGGACCCCACCCCACCCAACCTGGCCCCACCCCACCTTGACAGGCCACGCCCATGGGACACTTTTGCTGCCCCTTGCAGCCCTGCCTATTTCTGCAGGCCACGCCCCACGTGGCCACGCCTCCGCCTCGTGACTCCTCCTCTGCCCTCCCCTCTTCCATTCCCCAGGAGCTGCTGTGTTACAAATACTGGGGTCCCGAGTCGGGGCTCCCCAAGGCCGAGCAGGGCTTCCGCCTACTGTGGCGACGTGGCTTTCCCAGCCCACTCCTGGCACTGGCCCACACAGACCTGACAGGGGACGGGCTGCGGGAGCTGGCCGTGGTCTCCCTGAAGGGCCTGCACGTGCTGCAGGTAGGGGGCGCGTGGGACTGGGCGGGTGATCTGGGACCCGGGACTGGACAGGCGGGGCCCCACCTGCCCTGCAGAGGCGCTTCCAGCCTCCCGGATACCTCTCTCAGGAGAAGGGGCACTGGGGCATCCCCACTGGGGAAGGGGACACTCTCCACGCGCTTCCCTTGTTCTTCCTGAATTCTGGTCCTAGTCCTCCAGGCCACTGCTCAGTAAACCTGGACTCAGACCCCCTACTGTCTTCCCCTAATGAATGCTTTCACTTGCTCACTCACTCTCTCTCCCTTTCTCCCTCTCCCTCACACACACACACACACACACACACACACACACACACACACACACACACATTTAGCTGTGCTTAGGAGTTACTTCCAACTTTGTGCTTAGGGATCACTCCTGGCAGGGCTTGGGGACCATATGGGGTTCCAGGGATGGAACTTGAGGGAGTGTCTAAAGCCAGCACCCCCCCCCCCCAGTGTACTATCTCTCCTGGCCCTCAGCTACTCCTTTTTATGGGGGCAACCTGGGCTATGGGAGTATTCAGGCCTGGCTCTGCTTGGCACCTCCAGGACACCCCCACCAGTATCTGGGGACTTTTCATGGCTACTTCTCCAGATGCCAGCCTGTCCTTTGTCTCCCACCATCCCCATGTGGTCCAATCTTGGCCTCCCGTGGACAACCCTCACGTCACATCACCCGGCCCAGCCCTCCTGACATGATCCTTTGCCTTCCACTTAGATTCTCCTGTTCCACCCCTAAAGAGCTCCCCTCCTCTGCCCCATCACCACTGTACTCTGGCAGGGGGGTCTCACCATGCCCCTCTTGTCTCTCACCCCCACAGCACAGCTTGACCCAGGCCTCCGAGCTGGTCCTGTGCCGGCTCCGACAGGAAGTCGAGCAGCGGAGACGGCAGCCACAGCAGTGCGGGGACCAGGAGGGCTCAGGACCTGCAGGGAGCTCAGCCCCCTGAGCTGGGACCCTTCCTTGGAGGTTCTCCGTCCACCCCATGAAGGAGGAACATGTTTCCCAGACACCCTGTGCCCCACTCTGACACATGCCTCTGAGCCTCCTGTGAGAATGGCGTGGTCTTCTCGACCATCCCCTTCCACTCCCAAGGAGAATGGTTTGGAAGAACTAACTCAGCTCTCTGTCCCCTCTTTGTCCCGCAAGCTTTGGGGGTGGGTGATATTTTTGCTGTGTGCATCCAGAACAGGTGGGAGAGGGGCCAGAGAGGGAAAATCTAAGGGTAAACCCAGAACCCCAAAGGGGTTGAAGCTCAGTGTACGGTCTTGAGGAAACCCACACCCTGTCCTGATTCCATAGGAGCATTGCCAGGAGGAATCCCTGAGTACCACCAGTATGGCCCACCCACCCTCCATCTCCCTCCCATAGAAAGGAAAAGGAAGTTAGCAGAGAAGCAGAGAAAGCTGTGTCTCTGTAGAAAAGTCTAGAATGTGAAAGAGGACTAAAGTTAGGCCCAGCGAACAGGGCCACTAGGCTGAGCACATGCGTTGCAGGCAGGAGGCCCCAGCACCACACCCAGTACCACAGAGACAGTACCCTAAGCATCCTTGCAAGGGACACTCCCCCCAACTCCCCAGCACCATTGTGTAGCCCCCAAACAACCAAACAAAAATAGACCTGCGCTAAGGGTCAGAGAGATAGTATAGAGGAGAGGGAGTCTGCCTTGCACATGGTGGTTCAGGTCTGCTCCCTGGGCATCCCATCTGCTCCCCTGAACCCTGCCACGATTGAACTCTGAGCACTGCTGGGTGTGGCCCAGAGTCAAAAATAGGAGCTGGAGAGATAACACAGCGGGTAGGATGTTTGCCTTGCACGCAACCGACCCGGATTCGATTCCCAGCATCCCATATAGTCCCCTGAGCACTCCCAGGAGTAACTCCTGAGTACAGAGCCAGGAGTAACCCCTGTGCATCGCCAGGTGTGACCCCAAAAAAGCAAAAAAATAAATAAAGGACCTAGGGGCTGGAGCAATAGCACAAGCGGGTAGAATGTTTGCCTTGCATGCGACCAACCCGGGTTTGATTCCCAGCATCCCATATGGTCCCCCGAGCACCGCCAGGAGTATTTCCTGAGTGCATGAGTCAGGAGTAACCCCTCTGCAACACCGGGTGTGACCTAAAAAGGAAAAAAAATAAAATAAAGGACCTATAAGGAGGACCAGAAGAAAGCACTGAAGGAAAGGCCTGGCTGGGGACACGGGGTTGTGGCCTAGAGGCCAGAGACAGACAGGTCAGAGTCAGCTGTGTGTGGGATGCTGGGGTTGGCTCCTCTCCAAAGTGGCCTATGAGAACAGGAAATAACTAACTGGGTCCAGCCCCCGGCTGGATTTGCTGGAGGAACTGCACTGGAGAGGACAGAGGTCAGCCAGAGTCCGAAAGCCCTGGGGTTGGAGGTGAGGCTGGGGCCACCCTCCCGTGGCTCTCGGGATTGCCCACTAGTGGCCCGTGGCCCAGTGGCCAGCAGGGGGAGGAGTCAGCCCTATCTCTGAGCCACTTCTGGAGGCAGTTGGGGATGACGACAGGCCTCCCCTCCCCCAGGGCGGCCAGGAATAGAATCCAGGTCAGGAGGGGTGAGGAGTCAATTCCTGAACCGGATCCAGGCTGGCGGGAGGCTGTGACTGGCTTCCTGGGGGAGCAGGGTGGGCGACCTGGTCCTGCCCCCGCACCTCCATCTGCCTTCCCACTGGGAGCTCTACCTGAAGAGGGACTTCCACTTCCAATGACAGAAGGCCAGCACTCTCCCTCCTGACCCTGGGGCCGCCCCCAGATGCCTGATGGAGGGGAGCCTTCTGGTCTGTGGGAGCTGGTGCCCCAGGTGCATTTGGGAGGGGGGCAGTCAGTGTGCTTCCAGACGCCTACTGGACCCCCACCGGCTCCCTTTGAGGGCAGAGCCCATAGCCATCCTGCAGCCCGGGCCTCAGTCTCCCCATCTGTATAATGAGAGGGTGACAGGTTGGTGAGGGGAGTGAACTGTGGCAACATGTGTCAGCAGCTGATGAAAAAGCTTCCCCGTGCCTGGCCCTGGGCAGTGGCAGTGTGAATGCAGCCCTTGTTATTATTATTAATGGGCGCTTCTGTGGTTGTTTCTGGCTGGTTTTCTGAGCTGAGGGCTGCAGTCACCAACTAGGGGTTTGGCTCTGATTCCCACACTTTCCAGGGCGCACACATGCGCGCGCGCGCGCGCGCACACACACACACACACACACACACACACACACACACAGTGCCTGTCTGAGCCTGTGACTATTTGTGGCTGTTTTTGTGTCTTTTGGCCCTTATAGGGACCAGCGCCCTGGCGGCGGGGGGCGGGGGTGCCAGAGCGACGCACGTGCTTGCCCATGTGTGCAGAGGGTGCCTCTGTTGGAGCCCCGGAACCCCCAGCCCCCCCAAACACGCGTGCACACCGCACACGCGTGCAGCCGCTGTCCTGCGCCGGTGGTGCTGAAGCGGTGTGGGGGGAGCTCTGACGACCTCCCCCCTCCCCACCTCCGCTGTCCCTCCTGGTCCAGGCCCCTCCCCTGCTGCTCCCCGCCCCGCCGCTCCCCTCGCTCCGCCTCCTCCTCTCCCCCTTTCCCGACTCCTCCTCCTCCTCCTCCCCGGCGCCCTCCAGCCCCTCCTCTCCCCAACTCCCCCTCCCCTGTGCCCTCCCCCCTCCTCCTCTCCTCCCTCTCCCTCCCCTCTTCTCCGACTCTCCCTCTCAGTCTCTGGTTTCTCTCTCTCTCTCTCTCTCTCTCTCTCTCTCTCTCTCTCTCTCTCTGTCGGGCGGAGTCGCCCACCACTGCCAGCCCTTACCGGCTTCAGGCTGCAGCTGCAGGTAAGAGCCCCCCAATTTCCCCAGGTGAGCTGTGACGGTCCGGGGCCAGGACCGGGCACCCCTGCTCCCCCTGAGTTGGGGTATGGGCGGTGGGGGTTAGGTCCCTCCCATGGGGGCACCACCAGCTGCCAGCATCCTCCGCTGCTCTCCCGTTTGGGGGCGAGGGCATGGGAAAGGGGGCTGCCCCCTCCCCTCTCTCCACCCCCGCCTTCCTGTCTGGGGATCTGGTCAGGCTTCCTGTCTGGGGGTCTCTGTGCTGACTCTCCCTGGAGGTTTCTGGGGGCCTTCTCTGCCCTCCTCCAACACCTCCTCAGGGGGTTCATGTTCCTGGGGCTGCCCCCAGGGGTGGCTTTCGTTCCCTGTCTCGGAGATTTGGTCCCTTTCCTCTGCCTTTCCCTGAAGCTGCCACTTAACTCTCCTCCTACACACCTTTGTCCCCGCCCCTGGCAGGGAGACCTGCCCCCCCCCACATTGAACTCCCCCAAACTCCTTTCCCCTGCTCTGCCCCCTCCCCATGCTCCGGGCTGACCTCTCCACTGAGCTCTGACCGCACCTGCCAGGCACTCCCTCCCAGCCCTCCTGTTCCTTTGAGTCATTCATTCTGGCTCTTCTGGGGTGCAGCCCTGCCTGGTCCCTGCATGGCCAGCCTGGACCTCTCTGGGGTAGGGCGCAGAGCCCCAAGCTTCTCCATTGACCTGGGAGGACCTTCTGGGGATCCCTTTCTTCCTGGAGCACCCCCAGAAGCTGGTGAGAGTGACAAGGGGAGTTAGGGCCCCTGGAGCCTATGTGGGGTGGGGTCCCCAATACCCACACGGCCTCCCAGATGGGATGGAGCATGCCCGCGCTGGAGTTGCCATCTCTGTTTCTGTCCACTGGAGCCAGGCCCTTCCCCTTCCTGGTTGATCAGTTTCCCCATTGAGGTGTGTGTTGTGTGTGTGTGTGTGTGTGTGTGTGCGCGTGTGTGTGCGTGTGTGTGTTTGTGTGTGCGCGCGCGCATGTGCCTGAGCGCATGTGTGCGTGTCCAGGGCCAGAGTGCTGTGCTGGGGAAGGCCAGGCAGGAAGTCAGTCTCTCCCCACCTGTCCCCAGAGTGCAAGCAGCACCTCTCATGTGCACCAGGAGGGGGGGCCACCTAACATGACATCAGGCTCCCCCTCAGTCTTGTACTTGCTCCCTGTCCCCCAGACCAACAACCTGAAAAGGGGGTTTCTCAGCCCTGCCCAGCGAGCCCCCTGCAGGCTGGGTGGGGAGGCAGCACCGCCTCCACCAGGTCGCTCTAGCCTGGGCTGTGAAGCAGATTAGGTTTCCGGGCCCCCGGCAGCAGCAGTGGGCCGGCGGGAGCGCGGATGGAGCCAGCTGTCCGCAGTGACAGGGCTCAGAACTCTGTGGAAGAAAAAAAGGAACTCCGAGTGTTCCAGGAACAAATATTTACCCGGCGATTCCTCTCCCCGACCCTCCTCCTGGTCCGCCTCTGAAGCTGAGACCCAAATTTCTCCCAAGAACTGCCAGGCATTGGCTCCAGCCCCTGCACCCTCCACCTCCCATCTCCCTGGTTGGGGACAGGTGGCTGAACTGGACAGGCGACCTCCAAAGGGAGGGAGGGAGGGAGGGAGGGAGACAGCCACTAGTGACCCAGACACCCCCAGAATGCAGGGGAGATGGGAGGGTGGAGAGAGCAGGCTGGCATCCTGGTGGGTTCGTAATTATGCCTAAACCATTGCTAATTAGGGGGCTTCTAATTAGACTCTCATTAGTGGCCCTGAAGGGACTAATTGTGCAGTGGCCCTTTAAGAATCACCCCTCTCCATTGCCCTCTACATACACACGTATACATGTATGCACACATATATGCCTACAGATAGGTATACACATACACAGACTCACACACTTCTCAGGAAAGTTCTGCCAAAATGCTGCCTCCCTCCCCTCATGAACCAGCACCCAACACTCAGGCTGTGACTCTGCGGGTGTGTGGGAGGGGAGACCCCGGGTAAGACTGCCCCCCCCCCCCACTCACACACAGCTCCTGCTCCAGGGAAATGGAAGTTACAGGAGGAACCCTGCTGTGGTCCAGGAAAGTGGGCTGGGGGCGGGGTGGGCTGGGTGCTGCATATGCCTTTAGCTCGGCTCCTTCCCTTTTTATCCTTTTTATAGACTTCAGGTTCTGTGCAACGGGGAGGTCCCGGGTCCCCCATCCACTGTGAAATGTGGGCAGGGACTCCCCAAAGAGGGTGGGGTGAGTCTGAATCTGATGGTTCGGGCCAGGGATGCTCCCAGTGGATGCTGGAAGGCGTGGATTGTTGGGGGAACAGCCGGGAGAGAATGTGGGGGAGGCCTCAGGGAGGGGGCCGGGGGGGTTCTGAGTCGGGTTGAAAGAATCCAAATTCCTGATGAGAGGCACTTGGGCAGGACAGAAATACCCCTCAGACCCAGGCCCAGCAGTGGCAGGAGAGGGCTGACTCCCCGCCCAACACGCACACATGGAACACATGCCCAGCAGAGCTCACCCCACAATACCCTCTGCAGATGGGCGTGAGACCCCTCTGCAGGCAGCCCCCAGGTGGGGCAGGGGAACCAGTACAACCACCCAGTGGACAGGCTCCTTGATCCATTGCACCTCACCCACTCCCTGTCCGTCTTGATGCCTTGACCCTGGTTTTCTATGCAACTGGAAACTTTAGTGCTGTATAGTATTCCACTGGTCATTGCTGCCATCATCTGCTTCTGCAGCCACAGCAGGGTCTGTTGGGTGGGGAGAGTATCCTCCTGCTGAGATGCTCGAGCTGCTTCTCCCCATCACAACCTTGCAAAGCCGAACTGCCGAGTAGGTGGGGTGGGGTGTAGGGAATCTTGAAAGTGTTGAGTTCCATTTTCCTTCCTGGGAGTGCCACACCTGCCCCTGTGTCTGTCTCTCTGAGTCTCCCCATGTCCCTTCCCTCATGCAGGTTTCCTCCCCCCCTCCGCAGGCCCCCACCACCCTCCATGGCGCCCCTGGCCTTGGTGGGGTTCGTGCTGCTCCTGGGGACTCCCCTGTGCTGGGGGGCAGCCACCCCAACCCCCTCCATGCCACCGCTCCCAACCAATGAGAGCGACACCAGCACGGAAGGGTGCCAGGGCTCCAACCGCTGTCAACCGGGAGTCCTGCTTCCCGTGTGGGAGCCGGATGACCCCTCACTGGGCGACAAGGCTGCACGGGCCGTGGTCTACTTTGTGGCTATGGTCTATATGTTCCTGGGGGTGTCCATCATTGCCGACCGCTTCATGGCGTCCATCGAGGTCATCACGTCTAAGGAGAAGGAGATCACCATCACCAAGGCCAACGGGGAGACGAGCGTGGGCACGGTGCGCATCTGGAACGAGACGGTGTCCAACCTCACGCTAATGGCCCTGGGCTCCTCAGCGCCCGAGATCCTCTTATCGGTCATCGAGGTCTGTGGACACAACTTCCAGGCGGGCGAGCTGGGCCCCGGCACCATCGTGGGCAGCGCTGCTTTCAATATGTTCGTGGTCATCGCCGTGTGCATCTATGTCATCCCAGCCGGGGAGAGCCGCAAGATCAAGCACCTGCGTGTCTTCTTCGTCACGGCCTCCTGGAGCATCTTTGCCTACGTGTGGCTTTATCTCATCCTCGCCGTCTTCTCCCCAGGGGTGGTCCAGGTGAGCAAGGACTGGGTGCAAATTTCCGCGGCCAAATCCAGAGGGGGGTTGGCACCTAGGGGTTGGGAGTATGGATTCATGCTGCTGCAGAGAGACCCGCCCCCAAATTGGAGGGCTGCCTGGCGATTCGTGCAGCCTCAGAGAGGCCCGCCCCCAGGTTGGAAGGCTGCCTGGCGATTCGTGCAGCCTCAGAGAGGCCCGCCCCCAGGTTGGAGGGCTGCCTGGCGATTCGTGCGGCCTCAGAGAGGCCCGCCCCCAGGTTGGAGGGCTGCCTGGCGATTCGTGCGGCCTCAGAGAGGCCCGCCCCCAGGTTGGAGGGCTGCCTGGCGATTCGTGCGGCCTCAGAGAGGCCCGCCCCCAGGTTGGAGGGCTGCCTGGCGATTCGTGCAGCCTCAGAGAGGTCCGCCCCCAGGTTGGAGGGCTGCCTGGTGGAGGTGCAGATCTGGCAGGCCTAGGGAGCCATGCTAGAGAACTGAAGAGTGCCTCAGCCATGTCTAATGGTGCTGCTAGCCCTGGAAAATTCTCCCCTGCCCGGGGAGGGGTGGGATTTTATTGTATCTATTCATCCAGAAAGGGTGTCCTGGAACGCCCGGAGTCCCTGTCACCTGAGGAATGAGTGCGTGCTGCGGTGGCGCCCACTCGAGTCTGGTGTCGGGATGGCCCCAGGCCCCTCCTCCATCTCCCCTCCCTGCCTTCTGCATAATTTAGTCCCGCCTCTGCGGTGAGATCTCCCCATTTGAATAATTCACGCCACACTTGCCCAATCCCGCCTGTTTTCCGACAGTGCTAATTGGATTGGGGGACTCGGTGCCATTTGCCTAATTTCTCCTCCCTGATCTGGCTGAGAGCCAGCTGTGTCCACATCTCCATACTGTGGCTGTGAATTGCTCGCACACCTCCTCCCTGATTCATAACTGATTTCTGAGGGGAGGGTAATTTCTGCAACTTCAGAGTAGCTTAGAGGCATGTCGCCCCCCTGCCCGAGACAAGCGACCTGAAAAGACAGCTTGGTCACACTGTTTGCAACAGTGGGAAAATCTAGAGCGGCAGCCAGATCCTGTATCCCCACACTTCCAGCTCCCGTGACCTCTCATCCGCCCAGTGTCTTCCAAAGGCTGTCTGGAAAACCTTTGCCAAACTTCTTTCCCACAGCTCTGGACTGCTGCCTCCACTGGCATAATTTACTTGTGGGCCTGGCCTAATTCATTCACTAGCATGTGTAATTTGTTTGAAGCTGCCCAAGATTTATTTACACGTGTATGATGGAGTTGTACCTGTCAGATTTTACCAATGACAGTTTCTCTCCAGGAAGGATTGACAATCAAAGGTGAACAAATTCTCAGTCAATGATTTATTTCTTGGGCCGGGGTTGGAGGCATAGCCGGCAATGTTCAGGGCTTGCCCCTGGCTCTGAATTCAGGAATCACTTTTGGTGGGCTTGGGGGCCCATATAGGGTGCCAGAGATCAAACTCAGATAGGCCTGGTGCAGGGTTAGCATCCTATCTGCTGCACTCCAGCCCCTTAACATGACTCTTTTCCAGGTACACTGTCAGGTATTGGAGACAGTGTGCATCCAGCAGACGGGGTCCTCTACTCTGTAGAATTTGCACTAGGAGTGATCATGCTCATTTCCGGTCTTGTGAATTTCCTCTGAGTAGGGAACCAACAATGTTTGATACTTCAGCTCTGACACTCATTCTTGAGAATCTCCTTTTTCTTTTTAGCCACTGGGCTATACCCTGCAGTGCTCTGGAGTGCCTCCTAGGGTGCTCAGGAATCATGCAGTGCCAGAAGTCCAGCTTGAGGCTCCCTTGTGCTAAACCTGTGCTCCTGCCCATTTGAGTCACAGCCCCTACTTTTTTTCACAGCCCCTATTTTATGGGCAAAAAGTGGGGCCAGGGATTCTGCTTTAGAATCAAGACTGACCAGAGAGGTAGTCTGGGACACAGACATTCATTAGGATGAGTCTAACCCTCCTTTCTGTGCTCTACCACTGACTCACAAGTCACATCTCCAGTTTTCAAACTTGTACTTTTTTTTTTTTAAGAGTCACCGTTTTGGGGCTGGAGCAATAGCACAGCAGGTAAGGCATTTGCCTTGCATGCAGCCGACCCAGGTTCAATTCCCAGCATCCCATATGGTCCCCCGAGTACCTCCAGGAGTGATTACTGAGTGCAAAGCCAGGAGTAACCCCTGAGCATCGCCAGGTGTGACCCAAAAAGCAAAAAAAAAAAAAAAAAGATTCACCATCTTGGGGCTGAAGCAATAGCACAGAGGGGAGGGCGTTTGCTTTGCATGTGGCTGACTGGGTTTGATTCCCAGCATCCCATATGGTCCCCTGAGAACCGCCAGGGGTAATTCCTGAGTGCAGAGCCAGGAGTAACCCCTGTGCATCGCCGGGTGTGACCCAAAAAGCAAAAAAAAAAAATTCATCATTTTGTTCCCAAGGCCAGAACACCTTGGGAAGTCTGAGGAAAGAGAGATGGGCTGGGCTGTACCCACTGAAGGTGGTGGGACGGGAGTTAGAAGTGGACAAAGTAGACATCCCAGGTTTGGGGGATAGGTGGGGGGAAAGAGGGTGGGAGCACAAGTCTCTGCCCTGGGCCTGCAGGATGGATGTTTGCTGGGTGCTGTTTGAAGGTGCCTGCGTTTCTGGGACTTGGGCAACATGACAAAAGTGGGTGGGTGGAAGGACTGAACAAGGAGACCAGGAGAAAGGATCGGAGGCAGAGAGCAGTGAAAAATCCACAGAGGAGAGAGATGGGGACTCGCCAGAGAAATAAGAAGTTGGGGCTGCAGAGACAGTAGAGTGGATAGGGCTCTTGCCTTGCACACAGCCAACTCGGTTTCGATCCCCGGCACCCAGGAGTAATTCCTTAGCATTGCCGGGTGTGACCGCAAAGCTAGAAGAAAAAAAGAAAGGAGAGGGACTAGAGAAATAGTACAGACGTTAAAGCACTTGCGGCTGACCCAGGTTCAATCCCTACCATCCCAGTGGTCAGTCCCCTGAGCCTCATCAGAAGTGATCCCTGAATGCAGAGCCGTTTCTTTTTAGCCTCTGGGCTATACCCTGCAGTGCTCTGGAGTGGGACTAAGTACCGCCAGGTGTGACTCAAAACCCCCCCAAAAAACAACCCACGGAGACTGAGGCAGCAAGGAGGAGAGCAGAGAAGGCGGAAAGACCAAAAACAAAAACAAAAACAACCAACTGTCACCGAGAGAGACAGAGGGAGAGAGAGGCGAGAGAGATGCAGGGGCAGGAGACCTAGACACCGACGGACAGACGGAGAGTGGGGCGGGCCTGCGGGCGCGTCCCGGGGAGCCGGGGAGCCGGGCAAGGCGAGCGGGGCCGGGACGGGCTGGCGCGCCCCCTGGCGGCGCGGCGGTCCTGACGGCGCGGCCACCCCGCAGGTGTGGGAGGCGCTGCTGACGCTCGTCTTCTTCCCGGTGTGCGTGGTGTTCGCCTGGATGGCCGACAAGCGGCTGCTCTTCTACAAATACGTGTACAAGCGCTACCGCACCGACCCGCGCAGCGGCATCATCATCGGCGCAGAGGGGGACCCGCCCAAGAGCATTGAGCTGGACGGCACGTTCGTGGGCGCCGAAGTGCCGGGAGAAGTCGGGGCCCTGGGCCCGACCCCCGCCGAGGCCCGCGAGCTGGACGCCAGCCGCCGCGAGGTCATCCAGATCCTCAAGGACCTCAAGCAGAAGCACCCCGACAAGGACCTGGAGCAGCTGGTGGGCATCGCCAACTACTATGCCCTGCTGCACCAGCAAAAGAGTCGCGCCTTCTACCGCATCCAGGCCACGCGCCTCATGACGGGCGCAGGCAACGTGCTGCGCCGCCACGCGGCCGACGCCTCGCGCCGGGCCAGCCCCTCCGACGACGCGGGTGAAGACGAAGACGACGGCGCCAGCCACATCTTCTTCGAGCCCAGCCTCTACCACTGCCTGGAGAACTGTGGCTCTGTGCTGTTGTCTGTGGCCTGCCACGGCGGCGAGGGCAACAGCACCTTCTACGTGGACTACCGCACTGAGGACGGGTCGGCCAAGGCTGGCTCAGACTATGAGTACAGGTGGGTGTCCTAGCGCTCCTCATCCAGCGCCACTGTCTGCAGGCTCTTTACAGCTCCTATACTCTGCCACCCAGAGCTCACCAGTCTCCTGGATACATATGGGTCCTCTTACCGTACTCTGGGCCAACCTATTCAGTCAAAATTCACTCATTCATCCATTTATGCATCCATCCATCCATCCATCCTTCCACACATCCATTTGTCCATCCATTTGTCTAGCCATCATCTACCCATCCATCCATTGGTTCATCTACTTACCCACCCATCCATCCATCCACTCACCTCACCTACCATCCATCCACACAGCCAACCATTCATCCACCCATCTATCTACCCATCCATCACCTACCCACCCAACCATCCATCTATTCACCACCTATTCATCCACTCACCCACCCAGCTACCCACCTAACCATCCATTCATTCACCCACCCATCCGTCCATCCACCCATCTGTCTACCCACTGACCCATCGCCCCATTCACCCATCCATCCATTCACCCACCCAACATCCATCTATTCATTCACCCACCATCCACCCACCCACCCACCCACCCATTAATCCATCCATCTACCCATCCATCTATTCATCTATCCACCCATTCATCCATCTACTCATCTATCCATTATCTATCATCCATTTGTCCATCATCGTCCTTTCCATCCACCGATGCATCCATCAACCCATTCACTCATTCATCCATCCTTCTGTTTAAGCTCATTTCATATCAGTCACAATTATTGACATTTGACACCAAGTGACAATTAAGACAAGTGCCAACTTCCACTGCCCACATGTTCCTCACCTTCTTGTGAGTTCTGGTGCAGGATGCCACACCATTCTCCTGATTACAGCTCCAGAAACTGTGTACTATTAACTAGGCAGAATAAGTATCCACACCCACACACACTATGCACCCCACTTCAGTCATGCATCACTTACATTTTGACCATTATTGGAATGTCTATAGGACACTGATCCCAACAGACTGCACCATCTAGCCTAGTTGTGTAGTTGGCTGCAAGACTGTCATGCTCTGTGTTGTTCATACAACAAAAGCACCAACTGCTGGATTTCTCAGAGCATATATATGTCTTTAAGCAATGCATACTTGTATTAAGTAAAAATGGATTCTGAACCCCTACTGAATGCCTGTTGTCTAGGGGTGAACAGGAACGCCATGGTCCCTATCCTCAAGTTGCCATGAAGCAATAAACTGTTAAACATAGAGCAGCAAGCGATGGTTAAGTGCTATGTGGCAAAGTTAAGCAGGATAAGAGAAGTGACACTGTCCACAGCATCCTCAGGCCTCTGGTTTCACTATGAAGCAAACCACCTTCTGCTTCCTCAAACCTCATGTCCCCTGCATACATACCTGACCCTTCACTGAGCAGACCTGTGACTCTCCTCAGGATGCAACAATTCCCACCTGCTGGGTCTCAGTTGCTTTCTTAGGGGGTTGGGAGAACATAAAGAAAAGTAACTTTCAGGGCAGAATAATAGTACAGTGGGTGGGGTGTTTGCCTTTCACACAGATGACCCAAATTTGATCCCCAGCATCCCATGTGGTCCCACAAGTACTGCTGAGTAATTTCCGTGTGCAGAGCCAGGAGTAACCTATGAGCATCTCTGGGTGTGGTCCCAAAACCAAAAAAAAAAAAACAACAAAAAAGAAAAGTAATTTGTTTGTCCTCATCTGGCCCATTTTTCAGGTGGCTAACCATGGGTGGGGCTGGGAATGGGACCTCATCCAGCCTTGCTCATTTGTGGCTCTGAGGTGACCCCTGGTGGTACTCAGGAGACCATATGTGGTGCCAGGATAGAACAGAATCAGCAGCATACAAGGCAAAATGCCTTATCCTTTGTACTATCTCTCCAGCTTCTTATTTTAATAAGATACCCCCCCCCCCACAGAGGGTTAATGCACATGTGAAGGTTGAGAAGGGTGGCTTTGGTTGAACATTCTAGTTCTTGGTTCTGGACTGTGAAAACCTTTTCCAGCCCCTCCCCCCGCACCCCAGCCCCCGTGGTTCCCTCCAGTGAGAGAGGCCAACTGTCCTGTTGTGCTTGTACCTCATTTCTCACTGGAAGTCCCGGTTGATGCATGTTTAGAGGTATTTAATACCTCGCTACCCTCAAAGTTGTGCGTTCTCCTGTGATAATGCCCCTCTTCCTGGAAGCCCTCGGGGACGCCCCCATCCCATAGCCTCTTCACCCTTCTCCCTCGGTTGCAGCGAAGGGACGCTGGTGTTCAAGCCCGGTGAGACCCAGAAGGAGCTGCGCATTGGCATCATCGACGATGACATCTTCGAGGAGGACGAGCACTTCTTCGTGCGGCTGCTGAACCTGCGCGTGGGCGACGCACAGGGCATGTTCGAGCCCGACGGCGGCGGGCGGCCCAAGGGCCGGCTGGTGGCGCCACTGCTGGCCACCGTCACCATCCTGGACGACGACCACGCGGGCATCTTCTCCTTCCAGGACCGCCTGCTGCACGTGAGCGAGTGCATGGGCACCGTGGACGTGCGCGTCGTGCGCAGCTCAGGCGCGCGCGGCACCGTGCGCCTGCCCTACCGCACGGTGGATGGCACAGCGCGCGGCGGCGGCGTTCACTACGAGGACGCGTGCGGAGAGCTCGAGTTCGGTGACGACGAGACCATGTGAGATCACGCGCAGCGGAAGAAGGGATACCTGGAGGGTGTGGTTGGGAGATGGGCGGGGCGTGAACGGGGGCGGGGCGTGGAAGGCGTGCCCTGACCTGGTGGGCGGGGTCCTGCGTCCTGGGCGAGGTTTGGGGGCATGGTCCCATTGGCACCTGTTGTGGTGTGGTAGGCGTGGTCTGGGGACTGGGCGAGGCTTTGTTGGTTGGGGTCGGCGCTGTGGGCAGAACTGGGTGGCAGTCTCAGAAACGGGGTGAGGTGGGGCCCAGAGTCATGGGTCTTGGAAACTGGGCGGAGCCTCCGTGGTGGGACCAGGTGTTGTGGGCGGGCTCTGTGGTTGGGGCCTGGTGTTGTGGGCGGGGTCTGGAAACTGGGCGGAGCCTTCGTGGTTGGGGGCCAGTGTTTTGGGCGAGGTCCCAAGTGCTTGGTCCTGAAGTCGGGGGTGGAGGGGGCAGTTCTTGTCTACCGGGTGCGGGGCTGGGTGGTATCGCACCTGCCTGAGAAATGGAGAGAATTGGAGAGAGGGAACCTGGTTCAGAGACCAGCCAGGAGGGGCAGGAGCGGTAATACAGCGGGTAAGGTTCTTGCTTTGCATCCGGACAACCCAGGTTCGGTGCCCAACCTCCCCACCCCACCACGCCCCCGCACCACATGCGGTCCCTGAGCCCGCCAGAAGTGATCCCTGAGCATAGATCAGGAGTCAGCCCTGAGTGCCGCCGGGTGTGGTGGTAATGCGAGCAGTGCTTACTTGGGGAAAGGGTGGGGGTCCCAGAAAGAAGGGCCAGATGAGGAGAGAGGGGAGAGGAGAGAGACACGAGATTGGAGGGCTTCCTTGAAAGATGATCTGTGGCCTGCAGGGCTGCAGTGAAGATGCGAGGGCGTCTGTGGAGACGGAGGGATGCAGAAGGGCAGCGTCTACCGCAATGTGGGTGAGGAGGCCAGGAAACGAGGTCCGCGGGAGGAACCTTATAAGATGGGGCGTGACAGGGGAAGCTGCACGGGGGTGGGGAAGGGTCCTGACCTGGGTTGCAGGGGAAATGGGGGCGGGGGGGGGAATAGGCCAAGAATGGGGAACGTGGGCGAGACTTTAGCAAAGAGTTTGCTGGGACCAGACCTGTGAGGCGGGGCACTGGGGTAACTGGCGGGGTGGGGTCCGCTGAGCTGGATTTCCACAGATACACCTTTAAACTCAGACACAACCAACACAAACACACTGGCAGAGAAATAACCGCCCCCCCCCCCCCCCGGTCCAGGAAGTGTGGAGTCAGCGCTGCTCCCGGCCACAGACGCCAGGCCACCCCCTCGCGCACCTGCCTGGCCCACCCCACCCAGCCCCCGCCCCTGGCACGGAGCGCGCCTGCAGCCTCACTGCCCCCAGCCGCCTGCCAAGGCCGCAGAAGGCGGCGCCCCCGCTCCGCCTGCTCCCGCCGCCCCCGCAGCCCCGTCTGTCTCCCTCCTCCCGCCGCCCACGGTGCTCCCGCCGTGCAGCGCCCCCGCCTGCCGCAGCCTCGGGCCAGCGTCTCCCCATGCGCCCCGGCTTTCCTCTCTGCGAGCGCTCGATCCTGCGCCCCTCCCTCGCGCCATCCTCCCTCGCCGCACCCCACTTCTAAATTTCAAACCCTCCGCCACCACCACCTGGCTCACATCCTCGGTTATATAGTCCCCCTCCTTTTCCTTTTCAGGGGCCCAACACAGGCATCTCGCATGCCTCAGAGGCAGGGGTCAATGAGAATGCGAGGTTCTTCTGCTTGTTCTTTCTGTAGTCTAACCCACTTCCCTCCTTCTTGCACACACATACACACACACCACCACCACCACCACACTTCCTCTCCCCGGGCTTCCCCAACTCGAGACACCCTGTGGCCCCCGCCCCCGCCCGGTTTTCCAGCTGTGGCTTCAGGAAACAAAAAAACCAAGAGGCTAATTAGCGTTTAGGGAAACACATCCACTCCTCTGACAGACAGGTGATAATTAGAGGTGCAGCCTGGATGGAGGGGCGACCCCAGCAGGATCAACACAGATGGTGGGGAGCCATCTAGAGGTGGGGAGAGAGTGAGGTGCGGGGAGGAGGGAGAGAGAGAGGGAGAGAGAGAGAGAGGGAGGGAGGACAGGGGTTTAGGCACCTACCTTGCACCTGGGTTGGATCCCTGGCACCACATAGGGTCCCCCAAGCCCGCTGAGATTGACACCTGAGCATGGAACCAAATCTTAAGCCCCAGTGGGTGTGGCCCCCCAAAAAAAGGAAAAGAAAAGAATGTAGGAATGGAAGAGAGAAAAGGAAGGAGAAAACGAAGAGAGAAAAGGAAGAAGGGAGGGAAGGCTCGATGACAGGCAGGGCCTGGAAGATAGTGCATTGGGTAAGGGGATAGCCTGGCATGTGGCTTGCCTGGGTTCAATTCCCAGCATCCCATATGGTCCCCTGAGCAATGCCAGGAGTGATCCCTGAGCACAGAGTCAGAAGTAAGCCCTGAGTACCACTTGGGTGTGGCTCTAAAACAAAAAAGGAACTAAAAGAGGAAGTGGGAAACTGAGGCAGAGGAGGGTAAAGGGTGAGGGTGTAGAGACACAGGGGTTCATCATTCACTCTGAGACTCAAGGAAGGAGACATTCCCCCACTCCAGATGAAGGGAGATTGGGACAGCAAGTGATGGTGGGGACAAAGGGGCTGGGTCTGAGACCAGAAGACCCAGTGGTCTAGGCTGGACCTTTGGGTGTCCCCTGGTGCCGTCTGCCCTGGGGTCCTTGAGGTAGCTCTTCCTCCCGGGCCCGTGAGGGCACCAGTGCCCAGTGCCTGGAAGACAGTGAGGGTGGGCTGGGGCTGCCCATGTCAGGGTGTGTGTGGGGGGAGGGATACTGTCTGAGTCTCCCTCCAGCCCCCCCTAGCCTCCTAGTTTCAGAACCCTGGACAGATCTACGGGTGGGTTGCTACTTTACCCACCCAGGGAAGATAGAAACACCCACGCCCAGGGTGCTGAGGGAAGAAGAGCAGAGTGTCTTGGGGTGGGGTGGGGCGGCCTGGCTTCTATGTTCAGACTCAGCTGCTTGGAGAATGATCCACACTTTCTATATGACTGTTCATTTTGGTCCCCATGGCCTCATATCAGCAGGGAAGATCCTTGGCCTACCAGGCGGGTGACCTTCTGCAGGTCCTGAGGCTTCATGCAGGTCCAGTTCTTCAGCACCAGGGACCCCTGGTCTACCCTGGCAGTGGCTCTGGAGTTGCACCCAGTGTGATTCACGAGGAACCATGTGGTGCCAGGATCAAACCCAGCTTGGATGTGTGCCAGGCAACCACCTTAACCCCTGTACTTCTCCTGGTCCCCTGAGGGCTTACTCCTGGCTCTGCAGTCAGGGGTCACTCCTGGTGATACTCGGGACCCTGATCGAACCTGGGTCAGCCATGTTCAAGGCAAATGCCCTCTTCATTGTCCTATTTCTCGGGCCCATATTTTTTCTTCAAGGGGAGTTTTTTTATTTGGGGCACATCGCTGGTGCTTGGGGGCTACTCCCCGCTCAGTGCTAGGGATCGCATGGGGTGATGCTGAGGGGACCATACGGTGCTAGGGATCCAACCGGATCCCCTGTGTGCAAAGCCTGTGCTCTAGCTCTTGGAGCCGTCCATGGGGTCCCTCTGGGTTGTTTCTTTTTTTTTCCTGCTTTTTGGGTCACACCCAGCAATGTACAGGGGATACTCCTAGCTTTGCACTCAGGAATTACTCCTGGCAGTGCTCAGGGGACCATATGGGATGCTGGAAATCGAATCCAGGTCGGTCCTATGCAAGGCAAACGCCCTACCCACTGTACTGTCGCTCCAGCACCTGGGTTATTTCATTTGATGGACACTTGAGAGAGGGCGAGGACAGGGTGGGAAGACAGGCGGGTAGGGTCCAGCCCCAGACAGTCGGAGTCAGAGAAGCGAAGCCACTGGGCTGGGGGTAAGGAGAGCAGAGAGGCCACCCCAGGCTGAAGGGAACAACCTAACGTGGGCGGCTGTGAAACAGACGTCTGAAGAGAGCAAGACTCCTTGCCGGGGAAAGGCGGCTGGGTGGGCTGGCGTCGGGCAGAAGCGCTGCAGCCCTGGGTGAGGGGCCAGCGGGCTGCCGGCCGCCCCCCTCCCCCTCCAGTTGTCTGCTGCAGCAGGGAGCGGCGGGTGCTATGGCATGTGGGCGCGGGCGCCATGCCTGGTGGTGCTTCCCGTGTCTGCTGAGTGTGGGCTGCGGGTTTGTGTTTCTGGGCGCTGCGGCCAGTGCCTGCTACAGCTGAAAATGCTGCTGGTGGAGAGCCCAGCGCGCCTCCAGGCTCCAGGGCCTGTGCGGGCAGCAGGGAGGGTTCCGGTGTTCGGCCCCTCCAACCGGCCCCCCGCCGTTACCATGGCAGCAGAGTGGCTGGGAAAATCACTTAGCCCTGGTGCACAGCCCCGGTGGGGTCCTGACCCAGAGCAGGAAGCCGGGGAGGGTTCTCGGCACTGGTAGCTGAAAGATCCTAGTTAGCACAGTTGCTCGACTGATGTAGGGCAGGATGGATTTCCGTACTGGGGGGTGTTGAGCCACACCCCAGAGTGTAAGGAGCTGCTCCTGGCTCTGTGCTCAGGGATCACTCCTGGCAATGTTTTGGGGTCATTTGTGGTGTGAGGGGTTGAACTGGGGTCGTCCAGGTGCATCTGCAGCACCTTTCCCTCTGCACTTTCTCTCCGGGGATTCCCATAATAAAAATGGTAGCTCAGGGGCCCGAGTGATAGCACAGCATGTAGGGCGTTTGCCTTGCACGCGGCCGACCCGGGTTTGATACCCGGTGTCCTATATGGTTCCCCAAGCACTGCCAGGAGTAATTCCTGAGTACAGAACCAGGAGCAACCCCTGAGCATTGCTGGGTGTGACCCAAACACAGGGAAAAAATTAAAAAGGTGATATAGCTCAGCACATAGCTGCAAGGCCCTGGGGTTCATCCCCAGCACTGCATGTCCCCCAGTCTCCCCCAAAGATGGAGCCAGCCTCAATGAATCAGGGTCAGCTAGGGGCAAAGTACTGGAGTGAGCTAGGAAGAGTGTTCTTGGTGGTGGTGGTGGTGGGGGCAGCCAGTGCAAAGGCCCTGAAGCAGGAGTGGGCCTGGTGTGATCAGGGAATGGCAGGGGCAGAGTAGATGGGGAAGAGGGGGATGGAGGAAGGGGGCTGTGAGAAAATGAGGGCGACGGGCAGGGGTGGGAGGTGTCTTGTGGACCAGTTCTGGGGAATTTGGGAGCAGAGAAGGTTCTGTCTCAGCCATGTCTCATGGGGATCCCTTTGGTGGTGGTAGAGAGGAGGGTGTGTGGGTGCAGTAGCTGAAGCCTGGTTTGTGAGGCAGGCCTGGGCGTGGGAGATGATGGGGGGCGCAGGGAGGCAGGGAGGGGTGAAATCAACTCCCCCCCATCATCCCTGAGTCACATCACTCCTCTTCACCCTCAGCTTCCTCTGCGGGGCAGTGGGGGCTTGTTTGGGATGTGGGTCGTGCCTCTCCTGAGGGAGTTCTGGGGGGTCGTGGGATGTTACACGGCGGGGCTGGAAGGGGGCGCTGTAGGCAGCTCGCGACTGGCTCCCCTAAGGGCCCTCATGCCAGGCTCCCCCTCCCTCCCGCCACAGGAAAACTCTGCAGGTGAAGATAGTTGATGATGAGGAGTATGAGAAGAAAGATAATTTCTTCATCGAGCTGGGTCAGCCACAGTGGCTTAAGCGAGGGATTTCAGGTGAGGTGTGATGGGAAAAGTGAGTGGTGGGGGTGGAAGCAGAGGAGACCCCTGGAGTCCTTCCTTCAGACTTATGTAAATGAACAAGTGAACAATGCAGGAAAATAAACCGACTCTTCTCTCTCTCTCTCTCTCTCTCTCTCTCTCTCTCTCTCTCTCTCTCTCTCTCTCTCACTCTCTCTGCCCTTCTAGCCCTGCTCCTCAACCAAGGTGAGTGGTGGTAGCTACCTCCAGGCTCAGATGTTGGTGGGGTGGTACTCAATACTCAATAGGATGGATCTGAGGAACCAGAGATATAGTACAGTGAATGGGGAACTTGTTTTTTGTTTTTGTTTTTGCTTTTGGGGTCATATCCGGCGATGCACAGGGGTTACTCCTGGCTCTGCACTCAGGAATTACTCCTGGCTGTACTCAGGGGACCGTATGGGATGCTGGGAATCGAACCTCAGTCAGTCGCGTGCAAGGCAAGCGCCCTACCTGCTGTGCTATCGCTCCAGTACCAGTGGGGAACTTGTTTTGTACACAGCCAACCCGATTTGATCCCTGACACCCTAGATGGTTCCCACGTCCTACCAGGGTGTGACCTAGAAATTTAAAAAAAATGGGGGTGGGGCGATTAGGGGATCAGATCCCAGGTACCCTTCCAGGCTGGATTGGTGGTGAGAGGAAGGCAGAGCAGGGACTGGTAAGGGCCAGAGTTCATGTCAGGGTTATAGCCAGTTCAGTTTGGGGTTACAGTTAGAGACTTAGAGCTTAAAGTTGTAGATCAATTCAGGGGCTGGGACTGGAAAGATAGAATTGAGGTGCTTATCTTGCATACAGTCACCCCCAGCTGATTCCCAGCAACATATCTGGTCCCCGAGCCTGACCAGGAGTGACCCCTGAGCACAGAGCCAAGAGTCAGCCCTGAGCACCACTGAGTGTGGCCCAGAACAAAAGTTAGAGGTCTGTGATGAGGTTAATGGGAATCAGATTTGGGCTGGACTGGGGTAGGTGGGGTTGAGGATCAGGATTAGGGCTGAATTGAGGTCAATGTGTTTCTCAGTATTTGAGATGAGATTTGAACACCAAGACTGAGGTTAGAGCTTGAGGTGAGTTTGAGGGACTGTGGTTTAGTCAGGGTTGGGGTCTAATATTGGGGTGAGGGTGGGCGCAGGGCTCAGGGGCTTGGAGAGAGTGATGGAATGGTTTGGGGGTTCAGACCAGGACTGGAATGAGGGTGCTTAGGATTCAAGTCACACTATGGATTTTGTTTTTTTTGGAGGCCACACCCAGCAGTACTCAGGTAACCCTGGGCAGGCTTGGAGGACCCTATGGGGTGCTGGAGGTTGAATCTGGGTCAACTGCATGGAAGGCAAGTACCCTCCCTGCAGTTCTATCACTCCAGCCCCAGAATAAGGATTGTCTTAGTCAGGATAAGTAGGAGAAGGTGCTGCAAGAAGACCGCTAAATCAAACATAGTGAATTTCATGATGGGGAAGTTTTCCAAGGACTTTTCCTGGTTAGTGAAGGGGGGGAACATGGGGCGTGTGTGTTGACTCACTTTAGGGAAATAAAAAGGCTCAAAGCATATGTTGGTGGATCCAGACCCAAGAATTATTCCAGAGTTGAGGGTCACCATCTTCTCGACCACCTCAGATGCCCTCATTGATATTTCCAGAGCCCTAGCGTAGAGCGAGAAGCCCCCTCCAGCCCCCTCCACTCAGGCATGAGGACGACCATGCTTGGATGCTTTCCCCAGGGTTCAAGGACTTCTCTGAACACTTTTCATCAGTTTAGTTTGTTGTTCATTTGTTTGAGTACCAGAGATATAGTTCAGGGATTCAGCACTTACCCTGCAGCCTCTGTTGCTAGTTCAGATTCCCATGAATTGCACAGGGTTCCCCAAGCAAAAATAGGGGTCGCGCCTGAGAACAGAGTGAAGAGTAGCCCCCAAGCACCTATGGGTGTCTCTTCCCACCCACCCCCAAAAACAACTCTTAAAACTTTACTATCTGGGATCAGAGGGATAGTACAGCAGGGAGGGCATTTGCCTTGCATGCAGCTGAACCAGATTCGATTCCCAGCACCTATGTAGTCCCCTGAGCCAAGCCAGGAGTGATCCCTGGGTACAGAGGCAGGAGTCATCCCTGAGCACCACTGGGTGTGACCCCAAACCAACAACAACAACAAAACACTCTCCCAGCTTTCCTATGAGGTGAGAACATATAACGGTCCTAGGATACACTGGGACACAATGAGATTATGAAGGGCTTCAGTCCAGGGGCCAGAGTCTGGGGGCAGGATGGGGGCAGAGCTCAGGTTGAGGAAGACAGTGCTCAGATTAGGGGAGATGGTGGGCATGGGTGCTTCTCCACAGGAGGCTGCCTCCAGGTTCCATGTCTGGAAGCAGTTACTAGGGACTGGGCACTCTAATTCGCTTCCCTCGAGTTCCGACACACTTCCCTCATGCTGCAGTGGATGGAGACCGGAAGCTGACAGCTGAGGAGGAGGAGGCCCGACGGATCGCCGAGATGGGCAAACCTGTCCTGGGGGAGAACAGCCGTCTAGAGGTCATCATCGAGGAGTCGTACGATTTCAAGGTGTCTTTTTGTTCTGGAGCCCCAGCTTTCAGGGGCATCTTAGCTGAACAGTTTCCTTGAGGGAGAGAGTCCAGAAGCAGGGGGATCAGGAGAGTCCTGGGGTTGGGGGTTGCTCGGTGCTGGGGCCTTCAGCACCACGGATAGCACCCCATCCACTCTCAAAGCAAGCCTATGCCCCCCTTTCCCACCTAATGGATCTGGGTCTGGAGGTGCAACCTTCCCACCTGTTCAGATCTTCCCTGGTCACAGGCAATGGTGTCCCCACTTTCCTCTTGTCCCCAGAACACGGTAGACAAGCTCATCAAGAAAACCAACCTGGCGTTGGTGATTGGGACCCATTCCTGGCGGGAGCAGTTTTTAGAAGCGATTACGGTGAGCGCAGGTAAGTGGGGAGGGAAGAGGGGTTGGGCGGTCAGGGGACAGCAATAGATGCAGAGAGACCCAGGGGGACCCAGAGGGGTACCCGGCAAAGGGAGAGTCGCGCCTGGCAGGACAGAGGCGGAGAGGGAGAGGACGGTGAAAGGAAAGGGAAAGCGGGGCAGAGAAACAGAATGAGACAGAGACATGTGGGTGCAGTCAGGGGAGAGGGGACGGGCGCTCGGGAGAGAGAGATGTTCAGACAGTGAGGAAGCGGCGGGTTTAGATGTGAACACCAGAAATTTGAGAGGGGCTGCGGGAGGGGGCAGGTGGATGGGGTGGGGATGGGAACAGAGGGCAGAAAAGGACAGAGGATCTCGGTGCTCTCCTGGGGTGAGGTTGGACAGTGGGGACTGGTGGAATAATAGCACAGAGCTGGCTCCTCTGTTGCCATGGAGACTGTCACCAGGACACCCAGCCCTCCCCACCTGAGCCTCTTCCACCCCTGTGGGCCTCGAACAGGTCAATGCTGCCCCCCTGTGGCCTGAAATGCAATGACAACCAGGAGTCTGTTAAGCATGCAGCTGGGGGAAACTGAGGCTCAGAGCCAAGGCACATCTGGCCAGAAGTATCAGAGGTGGGCTGGAGAGATAGCACAGCGGGTAGGGTGTTTGCCTTTCATGCGGCGGACCCGGATTCTATTCCCAGCATCCCATATGGTCCCCTGAGCACCGCCAGGAGTAACTCCTGAGTGCAGAGCCAGGAGTAACCCCTGTGCATCGCCAGGTGTGACCCAAAAAGCAAAAAAAAAAAAAAAAAAAAAGAAGTATCAGAGGTATCCAGAAAGGGCCAAGGTGGCACTTTTGTTCCTAACACATCCTCGCCATCAATCTCTGACACTCTGCGGGGGGTGTGGTTGGAAAGCAAGATGGGGTCCACCAGAATGGGGGTGGGAGGGCGAAGCTCTGGGAGAGGACAGCCAGTGTGAAGCAGACTAGAGATGAGGTGGCATTTCCATCTGAGATGGCATCTGCTCTGCGTCTTTTACTCCACAGTGGCCCCATGAAAGACACTGGTAAGGACAGAGGTGAGATCTTGACCAAAGTCACAGTCCCTTGGGGGAGGTATTGCTGTTCCCCAAGAGTGAACAGGAAAGAGAGCCCAGGACAGGCTTCGAGAAACCAGGCATGGAGACTCACCCAGGCTGGAAGTCAGGGAGGGCTTCCTGCAAGAAGAGGCTTCTCAGTGGCAGTCCCAGAGGAGGAAGCCAGGGGAGGGAGAAGACAGGAGGCTTGGAAGGAGGTGGCGGGAGGCAGGGGCCAGACCACACCTGGTTTCACATATGAGTTTGCCTTCCAAGCACCAGTGTAGCACCTGTTACCCCTTTCTCTTTTTTGTATTTTAAATTTTTATTTTGGTTTTGTAAGAGCCATACCCGTTGGTGCTCAGGACTCATGCCTGAGCTCAGGGGACCATAAGGGTTGATGTGGATCAGACTCAGGTCAGCCGTGTACAAGGCAGGCATCTTACCCACTGCACTATTATCTCTCCTGCCCTCGAAAGTGAATATTTTTATCTCAGGGACAGAAACTAATCACCTCGAGGGATTTGGAGACAGAGACTAATGTTAGCAATCTATAGCTCGCCCCAGCTGCAAAGGATTCTGGAAAAGCAGGCATCTTCAATTTATTTATTCATTGGCTTTTGGGTCACAGCCGGTAATGCTTAGATCCCTGGCTCTGCGCTCAGGGATCACTCCTAGTAGTGCTGGAGGGACCATATGGGATGCCAGGCATTGAACCCAGGTTGGGAATACACAAGGCAAACACCCTTCCCACTATACTATCGCTCCATCATATTTATTTTGTACTGCTTCCCCCCCCCCCCCATCCTCCAGGATGTTTTGTTACTCCTGCTTGGGGGACCATATGAGATACCTCCGAGATATGCTCTTTGGGGGTCATACCCCGCAGTGCTCAGGGGCTACTCTGGCTCACTGCCCAACAGTTGCTCCCAGCAGTGGCTGTTTTTTTTTCCTTTTTGGGTCACCCCTGGCATTGCACAGGGGTTACTCCTAGCTCATACACTCAGAAATTACTTCTGACAGTGCTCGGGGGACCATATGGGATGCTGGGAATCGAACCCAGGTCAGCTGCATGCAAGGCAAACGCCCTGCCCACTGTGCTATCTCTCCAGCCCCAGCAGTGGCTGTTTGAGGGACCATGTGGTTCCAGGACCAGCCAGGACCCTCTGCACGCAAAGCATATGTGTCCTAATCCATCGGGCTCTCTAGCCCCAAAGGTGAACATTTCCAGTGGGGACTGGCCACACTCTGAGTTGCCAGGGCTTTTGGGAAGACAGGTGCTTGCATGGGATGGGTCATCTAGAAGTGAAGGGAATGGGGGTGCTGCTGGCCAGCGAGCCCCAGCTGGGTCTTGTACCCACAGGGGACGAGGAGGAGGAGGAGGACGGGACCCGGGAGGAGCGGCTGCCATCCTGCTTTGACTACGTCATGCACTTCCTGACGGTGTTCTGGAAGGTTCTGTTCGCCTGTGTGCCCCCCACGGAATACTGCCACGGCTGGGCCTGCTTCGGCGTCTGCATCCTGGTCATAGGCCTGCTCACAGCCCTCATCGGGGACCTCGCATCCCACTTTGGCTGCACTGTGGGTCTCAAGGACTCTGTCAATGCTGTGGTCTTCGTGGCTCTGGGCACCTCTATCCCTGGTAAATTCCCTGGGAGGTCGGGCTGGGGAGGGGAGCGGCTTGGAGAAGACAGGTAGATGTACTGAGGGAAGGAAGACACCCAGTGGGGGCAGTAAGGGGGTGGAGCCATAGCACAGCAAGGAGGGCGCTGGGCACTCACCTTGCACACGACTACCCCAGTTTCGATCCCTGGCATCCCATAGGGCACCCTGAGCACCATTGATTGCAAAGCCAGGAATCATTCCTGAAGACTGCCTTGGTGTGAAACACACACACAGACAGACACATACATAACATAGTGAAGGGTTGGAGATCTAATACAGCAGGCATGGCCTTTGCCTTACACATAGCCAAACCAGGTTCAATTCCCGCAACACATTTTGCCTTCCTGAGCCCCACCAGGAGAGATGCCAGAGTGCAGAGCCAGGACTCAACCCTAAGCACCTCCCATAAGCCTAATAATAGTATCATCAGAGGCCAGGGTGATGGTAGAGCAGGTAGGACACTTGCCTTACACATGACTGAGCTGGTTTGATCCCTGGCATCCCATAGTATCCCCTAAGCTCCACCAGGAGTGATTCCTGAGTGCAGAGCCAGGAGTAACCCCTGAGCATCATGGGTGTGACCCCAAAGCAAACAGCAAAAACATCATATTCAGGGGCTGGAACAATAACACAGTGGGTAGGGCATTTGCCTTGCATGCAGCCAACCTGGGTTCGATTCCCAGCATCCCATATGGTCCCCTGAGCACCACCAGGGGTGATTCCTGAGTGCAGAGCCAGGAGTAACCCCTGTGCATCGTTGGGTGTGACCCAAAAAGAAAAAAAATCATAATCATAGTCAGCCAGTGTAGTCTAGTTAAGCCCGTAGGATGGGTCCCTGAGAAATGCCGGGGTGGGGGTCATTATGGACATTAAGTGGGGTTGCAGGGGTACTGGAGAGTCAAGGGTCAAAGATATAACACAGGGTGGCTGTTTTTGGATTTGGGGGAAGGTTTTGTTTGTTTGTTTGTTTGTTTTGCTTTTTGGGACACACTCGGAGATGCTCAGGGAGTACTCCCAGCTCCACACTCAGGAATGACTCCAGGTGGTACTCAGGGGATTATATGGGATGTCAGGATTCAAACCCATAACAGCTGCATGAAAGGCAAACGCCCTCCCCTACTGTCGCTCGGGCCCCATAGTTCAAGATGCTTTCCTTACAAATGGCTGACCCAGTTCTATCCCCAGCACCTTATGGTTCCGGAGTACTGCCAAGGGTCACTACTGAGCACGGGAAAGCGGTGGTGGTCCAGTGGCCCAGTGGACCCTCAACCAGCCACTGCTGGGTAGTCCAGTCCTCCCCCACATCTGTCAGGTCCGGGCAGGTAGGCGGGTGTGGTGTGGCGGCACCCCCCTCAGAGCCCTGACACCCGTGCCCCCTCTCCTCCCGCCCCCTGTGTCTTGTCTCTGCAGACACGTTCGCCAGCAAGGTGGCTGCGCTGCAGGACCAGTGCGCGGACGCGTCCATCGGCAACGTGACGGGTTCCAACGCAGTGAACGTGTTCCTGGGCCTGGGTGTGGCCTGGTCGGTGGCCGCCGTGTACTGGGCAGTGCAGGGCCAGCCCTTCCAGGTGCGCACCGGAACCCTGGCCTTCTCGGTCACGCTCTTCACCGTCTTCGCCTTTGTGGGCATCGCGGTGCTGCTGTACCGGCGCCGGCCACACATCGGCGGCGAGCTGGGTGGCCCGCGTGGGCCCAAGCTGGCCACCACGGCACTCTTCCTGGGCCTCTGGTTTCTCTACATCCTCTTCGCCAGCCTGGAGGCCTACTGCCACATCCGCGGCTTCTAGGGCGCCCCCTCCTCGCCATGGACTGGGCCTCACACCTGGCCTCCTGCCCGCATCCCTGTCCTCTGCCCTCTCTTTCCCGCAGCAACTGCCCCCCCCTCCCCAGCTTGACCCCTGAGAATTCCCCGCTGACTTTTCTGGGGAAACCTGTACCTCGAAGGCCCCCAGGACCAGCTTCTCTCCCTTGATACTTTTCTCCCATCCCACTCTCCACTCTCCTTTTTTAATTTTTTACTTTTTATTTATTGATCTATTTATTTTGCGGTGTGGGGGATCACCCATGCAAGGCATTGAGCTCTAACCGCTGAGCCACATCCCAGGCCCTCTTTGAAGAACCTTTTCGGGGAGAGGAACCGCCCTCCTCCTCTTCCCCCTTTCAGAACTCAGCCATTTCTGAGGGCCGGAGGGGGCACTTTCAGGAGGTTGATCCCCCCTCGACTGTCCCAGATCTCTGCCTTTCCTCCCAGACTCAGGGACCTGGGATGGGGCTGGAGAAGGGGCAGGGGGCACACCTCTTGGTTTCTCCACTCAGGTCCTTGGGATGACTCATCTTGAGGCTTGGAGAAGGGAGGGGAGAAGTTTGGGGTTCCAGAGCTGGAGGAGGTACAATTCGAACCTGCGACTTCTCACATTCCAGCGCCCCCACTTGCCTCCACTACCTCTGGGAGCCAGCCATGCCTTGGAGGAGGAGGGCCTGTGTGTGTGTATATAGTGTGTTTGGGGTGGGGGGAACGTGGGAGGGTGCATGTCTTGGGGACAAGGGGTGACCGACTTTCCTTTTAAGAGGGCAGCAGACTCCCCAAGCCAGAAGAATCGACTCTGGGGAGGAGCCAGGGAGACCAGCCCATCTCCCGTGACAATCTCGAAGGTTCATTATGCCCTCAGTGCCAGCCAATCCGGGCAGGACCCTCGAAGAGGAGACCGAGGGTCCCAGAGGACCAATGCTACAAGCCAGCAAATGCTGCCACATCTCTGCCTGATGGGGAGCAGGGGGGTGGGGAGGGAGGGAGGGACTGGGGGTCAGGGGGGTTTGGGTGGACATTTTTAACTTCGGCTGTCCATCAGTCGGCAGCCTGTATTTTCTTACTGTTGTTGTTTCCCACCCAAAGGACACGTGGGGTGTGGGAAGTGCCGCCCATTTCTTGGGACCCCGTGGATGATCCTGCAACCCCCATAACACTCTGCTTCCCTCACATTTGTAGCGTTCTACCATCCTGTTGTACATTGGCCCCAACATCCTAGCCCTGTGACCCCCTTTCTCTACTCCTTTCTCCACTCCGAGCTCATCAGCACCAGCCGTTGTCTCTCTCTTCTCTGTGATTTCTGTAAAAGTTGCCATAAAACTTGGAAATTCTGCCTGAAAAACAGCCTTCCCGCGGGAAGTTGGGATTCGAGGAGGAAAATCAAAAAGGGTGGGTCTCTGAAAGCCTGGGTCATCTGTAAAAATAGAGCGGGTCATTTTCAGGGCACACCCGCAGTCACGGGTCACGGTGGCCTTCTTGGCCACCCCCCATACGCCACTGGGGCTCTTTCCTGGCTACGTTCCCTCCTAGAGCTATGCATGACTGGGGAAAAAAAAACCCTAGCCATACCCCTGCCAGTCAATTTCAGAAGAAAATGTTTGGCTACGCCCCCTGTATCTCCTGGTCACGGCCCCCTACCATTCTCTTCAGGAAGGACTGCAAGCTGATAGCGGAGTGTGGGGATGCGGGGGGGGGGGGGGGGAGAATTTCCTGCACGGACAGTGGGGTCTTTCGGGCGTGGGAATGAAGGCTGCAGATAAGTGGGAAGAACCGGGTCAGGGAATGGTCTGGATTCAGAGTCATTCAGAGGCTGCTGAGGACCTGCCTTCCCCATCCCATGAACCCGAGATGCCCACCTGGGTCTCAGGAGAGGGAGGTTTGGGGCAAGTCAGCATGTGGTGTCACTGTGCTACAGGGGAGATGGCCTTGACCTGGGACAGTGGGTCAGCAGATGGGAGCTTGTGACTGGAGAACTTGGAGGGGAGGTGGGCGACCAGGAGACTGGGGCATCTGGGCCAGAGAAATTTCCAGAATATGAGTGTGATCCACAAGCCCAAGACCATGGGGAGAAGCAGGACCCCCGCACTGGAATTTTTTTTTCGCTTTTTGGGTCACATCCGGCGACAAGCAAGGGTTACTCCTGGTTTATGCACTCAGGAATTACTCCTGGCGGTGCTCAGGGGGCCATATGGGATGCTAGGATTCGAACCCGGGTTGGCTGCGTGCAAGGTAAATGCCCTACCCGCTGTGCTACTGCTCCAATCCCCCCACCCCCCAAAAGTTAAGTGTTGAGGAGAGCTGTGCGGCAGGGGCAGAGAGGGGAAAAGGCAGGTGGAGGGTGGCCATGGACAAGCAAATGACCCCACCGGAGGGAAGAATGTTGGATAACATCAATCTGAAGCGGGGAGGTGGTGGGAAGTCACTAGAGGCTAAGATATCAGGGCAATGGGGCCAGCTCCAGAGGAGAGCCCGCGGTAGCTGTGGGGAACACACTTCAGGGCTCCTCCATGCCACCCACCTGCCCCTCAAACCAGGCCCCTTCCTCCATGGCCAGGAAACAATCTCGGGAGACCAGGCAACCTGCACAGGACTCACAGTGGAGAGGACGGGGTCCAGGGTACGGAGGGCACCGGGACACTCCCATCTTACCAGGAATCACCACTGGAAAGGGTGCGGAGGCAGAGAACTGTGGGAGCAGAGAGATGAGACCAGATCTTGGAGAATAAAGGAGTAAGCAGCAGGAGTCCCTGGACCCTTCCCCAGACCTGACCTTTGCAGTTTTTTGTTTGGGGGTCAGACACCTCCATGCTTGACGGTCCTCCCAGCTCTTTGCTCATGGCTCATACTCGGTAGAGCCCAGAGACCAGGTGGTGCAGGGGATGAGACCCAGTCTTCTGCATGCAAAGTGTGAATTCAGCCCAACATGCTCTCTCTGCTGTGAACCTCACCTGGTTTCTCACCCAGATGGGGAACGCCCCTCACAGTCTGGTGGCAGAGATCAGAGCCCTTTGTCCAAGGTAAAGGTAAAGGTAAAGGCCCTCCCGTTGATCGTCGATTTGCTCGAGCGGGCCCAGTAACGTCTCCATTGGAGATTTTGTTGTTACTGTGTCTGGCATATCCAATACTCTCGGTAGCTTGCCGGGCTCTCCGAGAGGGGCGGAGGAATCGAACTCGGGTCGGCCATGTTGGCCGCTTGTAAGGCGAACGCCCTACCCGCTGTGCTATCGCTCCAGGAGGTAATTTAGAGACGTGCATCCCCAGCCTCAGCTCTCACCCTAATAATGGGGGCAATCATAAGGGACAGAGGGACCTTTTCCCCGGCAGTGTCATGAAAGAACAAGTGTTAAAACAGTCCCTGGATTATTCTAGAAACCAGAAAGAGTTCAGCCTGAGGACACCATTACTCTATCCCGCCTGCTCCCAGGTTACTCCAGGTTCCAACTGCCCTTGCAGTCTCCTCCACACCCTCCTTAGACAGCACCAGAGGACCGGGAAAAGCTCCCAGGAACCTGCTGAGTTGTGGCCAAATCACAAAAGCCAGGGAGGAGTGGGAGTGTGGGGTGCAACTGGGGACAAAGAGAATTTCCTGCATGGACAGTGGGGTCTCTGGGGCCTGCAATGACAGCTTTGAGTAAGTGGAAAGAGCCGGGTCAGCGAATGATCTGGATTCAGGGTGAGATTCAGAGACTGCTGAGGACCTGCCTTCCCCACTTGATGAGATGATCCCTTCCCCCACCAATCCCTAGTGCTCTGGGGCAAGCCTGCTCCCCCCAGTTTGTATTCTCTACCACCTCCTCTCCAGTCCCACCTCCCCTCTTTTTTTCTTTTTGGGTCACACTCAGCAATGCTCAGGGGTTACTCCTGGCTCTGCACTCAGAAATTACTCCTGGCGGTGCTCAGATCAAACCCAGGTTGGTCCCGTGCAAGGTAAACGCCCTACCACCCGACCCACTTACTATCTCTCCAACACTATTTTTTGGGGGTAGGGGGGTCACATCCTGTGGTGCTCAGAATTTACCCCTGCCTCTGCACTCAGGGATTATTCCTGGCTGGGCCGGTGAACCCTAGGGGGCGCCCGGAATTGAACCAGGCTGGCTGTGTGCAAAACAAGCCCTAAGTGGTTTCCTGTTATACTGTTCTCTCCAGTCCCTTGATTTGCTTTCAGTGTATTTTGAGGAAGTCTCCCAAGTAATGCCCAGGAGGCTCCCAGGGCCCTTCCTGCCCAACAAGGCTGGTGGCTCAATGTGAGGGTATAAGAATCTGATGCTACTCAGACTCTGGCATGCCAGGAACCATCATGATCACCCCAGAGTTTCTGGGGGGGTCTCCTGGGCTGCACCCCTCCACGCTCAGGTCACCCATACTGTACTAGGGATCACATACCTTGCTGTTACCCCAACCCCTATACTATGTCCCTGACCGCTGTTACCTTGATTTTATTTCGTTATTTCAATTTTTGTTTTTTGAGCCACACCCCGTGGTTCTCAGGGCTGACTCCTGGCTTTGTGCTCTGGGATCAATCTTGCCTGACTCGGGGAGCATATGTGATGCCAGAGATCCAACCTAGGTCAGTCATGTGCAAGGCAAGTGCCCTAACCTCTCTACTATCATTCCAACTCCTCCCCTTGATTTAGACTTTTGGACTCTATGCTCACCATGAGAGAATACAAACAAGTGCATGAGCTGGGAGGTATTGGGGGGTGGGGTAGGTGCTTGCCTTGAATGCCACCAGGCCTGCTTTAATCCCTGTTGCTGTATAGTCCTGGAAGCACTCCTGGGAGTGATCCCTGAGCTCAGAGCCAGAAATAGGCCTTGAGCACTGCAGGATGTGGCCCAATCCCGCCCCCCACCAATGTGCTATTTTAAACTGTGAGGATTGATTCCAGCAACTTCACAAAAGATACTATCGAGAAGCTTCTGATTCTGACTGATATCTCCTTGGAGCTCAGTCCTCCTCCTCCTGCTCTGTGCTCAGGGTTTAATCCTGATACTCCTGATTCTGTGCC